GGGGGGGGGGGGGGGTTAGCCAGTGTCTGCATATATGTGTTGTCTCTGGTGTGCTCATTCAGATGCCAGGATGAAAAAAGGCAGCAACTGAATTGGCCCAGTGTCTTTTGGCCATTTTTTTTGTTGTTCTTGACTTTTAGTGTTTTTATAAATATGCGTCTCTTTTTTTTTCACTTGAATGTTTGAGGGTGCTTCCTCTCTAGGTTTGGTTCTGCTTACAGCTTTAAAAGAAGTAATTATGAGGCTAGTATTATGGCATATCTGCAACATAACCAAAAATACCCAGTGAAGATCACGATCAAACATGATTATAATAACTTTGAGAGTGGCTTTCTAGAAATAAGGTCACAGTATCACCTCCTGGCTCGCTGCACTCCATGTCTTTAAGGCTCATACTTTATTCTTTGGAAGAGAGGCCCGTTCTAGGTGACCTTTTATCATCCAGCCTTCTGACATCTGCTGGCTGCCAGGATTCTTCACCATGGTGCGTTTTATTGTATTTAACATTCTGTGTTTGGAACTTTTTATTGTTGGGTTTATTTGTTTTCTTGTGTGTTTTCTCAGTGAGATTATAAAGTCCCTAAGTAAAAAGTCCCATTGTCTTTCTTCATCTCTATTCTTTTCAGCTTTGGCACCATCTTGTGTCAAATATACTTGAATCTTCCCCCCAACTCCTTGAGGAACTAAAAAAGCCTGAGTGATGCCTGCTAGAGGTGAAGTTAGGGGAAAGTAGATTGGGACCTAGGTAGGTAGGAATCTGAAGAATCCTATTTGGCCTGTTCAAAGGATGACCTAGGGCAGAGGTTAAGAGGAACAAAATGAAAATCACTTGTGTCATTCCACAGAGACTGTCAGGCAGAGGAGCCAAAACAGAAATGGAATGTCCCCAACCTGGCACCTCTGCTTGCCCCAGCCTCGCAGATGATGTACTTCCATCAGCGACCATCACTCCTGTCAGCTGTTGCTCCCCAGGGGTGCCCATCTCAGAGCAGTTCAATTTCCTTACCAGCTCCAACTGAAATTTGAAATTTATTTTTTGATGGTTCATAAGAAAGACTCACAGAATCCAGCATGTAGTTATACTCACAACTATAATTTATTACAGCAAAAGGATACAAAGCAAAATCAGCACTGGGAAAAGGCATATGGGGTAAAGTCAGGAGGTTAGGTGAGAGCTTCCAAAAGTCCTCTCCCAGGAGTCATGCAGGATATGCTTAATTGCCCCAGTAATGGAAGTGACAACACCTGTGAAATGTCTACCAGAGGACCTCTTTAGGGACTCAGTGCCCACGTTTTTTATTGGGGCTGGTCATGTAGGTACCCTCCGCTTGGCATGTACCAAAATTGCATACTCTCAGAAGGAAAGCAGGTGTTCAGCATAAACTACATTTTTTGCATACAGTTTAGGCACAGAGTCATACTTATCAGGGACTGGTGGGAACTCTCCTGAAATCTAAGTTCCCAGACACCAGCCAAGGGCCAACCTTGCCACCAGGCCTAAGGATAGCAATTTTGGCCTTGCTAGAAATCCTTTCTGCACAGTTTCTAAACTTGCTCTTTTTTACTTTGAATTTATTGAATTGGAGGCTCAAATTTGTGTCAGATTATTTGGGTTGTTGGCTAGATGGACCTTGGTCTGTTGTCACTTAGGGAGAAAGCTTGGTCTAGATTGATGGGTGTTTTGCTTTGGGGACATCATTGTACTTTGACTGTGCTGCCTGCAGCCTGTTGAGTGTTTCTGCTGACAGGCAGATTCGCTGCTGGCTTCTGTTCTTTTATCAAGATAACTCATCCCGCATGTCCCTCATTGCCCATTGCTCTGCTCTGGTGTCAGACTTTCTGGTCCTGGCAGCGTTTCTGGTCCTTGGTTCCCAGGCAGTGCTGATGCTGCCTACGGGCCCCACAGGCTGGGACATGTACTTGCTGTGTGGGAGAAGCCATAGGTGTGCTTGTAATTAATTTGCATTTAAAACCTGTCTTATCATTTTGAAAATTGTGCCTTGGAAATCTTGCTTTGGGATTTGAACCTCTTAACCTTTAGGTTTTATTCTTTTGTATCTGTTCCTCCTTGATTTTCTGCTTTGAGTTTTTTGTTTTGTTTTGTTTTTGGAGGCTGGCTGGTATGGGGATTCTAACCCGTGACCTTGGTGTCAATTGAGCTAACCAGCCAGCTCCATGCTTTGAGTTTTAGTTGCCATGCTTCAAAAATCTCACATCATGACAGTGGTTCAGGACTATTTTTACTGTCATCTCCTTCTTTTCTGGACAGGTTCATTCCAGCTCACCTGCCCTTCTCCCACACACTGTTGGTGCCACAGAGGTTCCAAAACAGTGCTTCTACAGGGGGCTTCTCAGATTCTGAGGAGCATCTCTTGCATCATTTATGTTTGTGTTCGGTCAAATGTGTCCTCTTCTGGCTTGAATTAATTTACTTACATTTGCCTGTAAGGTGATCCGATGGCCTATTTTTAGCTACACTACCTACTCCGTGGTCCTTGCTGAAGCTTTTGGCAAACTGATGAAACAGGGATTGCTTGTCACTGACTGTGGCTAAAGCTGGCTGTATGTGAAGTTGGAGCGGCTTCACTGAACATACCCTGTACTTCAGGATTCTTCTGTCAGCTGGGATGGCATGGTGAAGGGAGGGAATTGCCCATCCTAAATTGGATGATTGCCAAAGGCTTCACTTTCATGAGAGTCTTGTCACTAAATAGCCCTTGGAGGCAGGAGTCTTTCTGCCACCACTATTAGAGTTTAAAGTCTTACCTGTTGCTGATTTAAGGACTGCAAAAGAGAAGGGCCAAGGAATTGAGCTGTGTGGGGTGGTCCAGCTCTAAGGAAACAGGCAGGGTGGCTGGGGAGTTGGTGCTGAGTGAATGCACTATTGAGCACTTGAAATATGGCTATTGAGACTGAGGAACTGATACTTTAATTTTACTTAATTTCAATTAATTTAAGTGTCCACATTTGGCTAGTGGCTCCCACATTGGACAGCACAGTGCTAGAGTCAGTACAGGGAAGGGGTTTATAGTGTGGCCTTCAGAACCTTGACTGAGATCCCAGATCTGTGGTCTACCTGTTGTGTGACCGTGGGGATGCTCCTTATAAAGTTGTTTTGAGAATTTGTTGTATTCCACTTAGAGGGTTTAGAACAGTGCCTGGAAAGAAGTGTATATTTAGTTAATGTTGGCTTATTGTTATGATTATTCATATTCTTAATGGAATTGTGGTAGAATTCATGTGGAATATAAAACTCTACTTTTTTTTTTAACTTTTATGTTTTCTTTCTTTTAAAAAGGAATTGTTTTTTTCTTACTCTAGGTTGCTGCATCAACTGGCCATACAGTAGTGCTGGTAGACCAGACAGAGGATATCCTGGCAAAATCCAAAAAGGGAATCGAGGAAAGCCTTAGGAAAGTGGCAAAAAAGAAGTTTGTGGAAAACCCTAAGGTAATTAATTTCTTTTTATCAATGTCCTTAAGACCAGTCCTCTGGCAACTTCAAATTTCTGGGTTCTTTCTTTCTCTTTCTCTCTCTCTCTCTCTCTCTCTCTCTCTTTCTCTTTCTCTCTCTTTCTTTCTCTCTCTCTCTCTTTCTTTCTTTTTCTTTCTTTCTTTCTTTCGTGTAAAACTTATTTCTCTATCGCTTTAGACCAATATAATAACATAACCACTAAATATTCAGGGAGAGTGATTAGAAAACAGAAAAAGTAAGTGACCGTATTATTGGGTAGGGTTTGAGGTTGAAGAGAAAGTTTCTGCAAGTGGTGAACTCCTTTTAGAAATACACTGAGAATTTGGGATTGAAGAATACCTGTTATGCTAAAAGGATGGAAGAGGGAGAAATAGATAATTTTTGTACTTGGAAGTTAAAAAGAGAATGATATAATAAACATTGTAGTTACATAGAAACTGTTGATTGCTTAGATAATATGTCTATTTGGATAACTAGAGAGGAAAATATAGGGTGACTCATTCTCATTTTCCAGGAGCAGAAGAGATAAGAGAACTTGGGAACTCTGGCTTACTGACTCTTTCTCTTTGGACCATGCTGCTGTTCCAGTGCGCTTTTCCTTAGGAGTTTGCATTTAATTAGAAATACTGCACAAATCACCCAAGTGAATTTTTATTTATCTTTGTCACCTTGTTAAAGTTGCTTAAGATTGATTTCTTGGGGTTTGGATTGAATTTCTCTCCATGTGCCTGCAGAGAAGAACAGAAATAGGGTATTTTTTGTTGTTTTTTACCTGAGGTATCCGCAATGGTGTGTCTAGTTGCCTTTTTACATTTTTTATTGTGATAAAATATACACATACCACATAAAATTTGCCATTTTAACCATTTTTAAGTATACAACTTGGTGGCATTAATTACATTTACACTGTTGTGCAGTTATCAGACTATCCCATTTCTAAAACTTTCTTGTTTCCAAACAGAAACTCTGTATCCATTAAGCAGTTATTCTCCATTCCTTTTTTCCTCCAGCCCCTGGTAACCTCCAATCCACTTTCTGTCTCTTGGAATTTGCCTATTGTAATACATCATAAAGGTGGAATTATAAAATATTTGTTACTTTTGTTCTGGCTTTTTCCACTTGGCATAAGATTTTCAAGGTTCATCCATGTTGTAGCATGTATCACAACTTACTCCTTTTTATGGCTGAATAATATTCCATTGTATGAATATACCACATTTTGTTTATCCATTCATTTGTTGATGGAATTCAGTTTTCACCTTTTGGCTGTTATGAATAATGATGCAGTGAACATTAGTATACTATTGGTTCGAGTCCCTATTTTCGATTTTTTCAGGTGTATACCTAGAAGTGGAATTGCTGGGTTGTACGATGACCTTATGTTTATTATAGCTTTTTGAGGAACCACCAAACTGTTTTCCATAGTGACTGCACCAGTTTACATTCCCACCAGCAATGCATAAAGGTTCCGATTTCTTTATATCCTGGCTAATTCTTGTTTTCCTTTTTTTTTGTAATTGTAGCCATCTGAACTGTAAAATAGTGTATCATTGTGGTTTTGTTTTGCATTTTTCCTAACGTCTGATCTCCTTTAAAAACCAGAGGGTTGAGAATGGAGATAATTTTACCCTCTTCTTGATGAAATCCAAAGAATAAAATCACAGGCCGATTAAGATCTCCTGCATCTCTCCCTCATCTTAATCATAGGGGTTATTATGATGAGAGTCAAGGCAGATGGGATTATAATAGCCCTGGGCTGAGGGTTAAAGTCAAGGACAGAATGAGTCTGAACCAGATAACCTGATTTTTCCCCTTATTCACAGTGTAAACTTCTGGCTGATTGTCCCTTTGGGCTGAGGCTCTGGGTCATGCTCTGAGGGCAAAATGATGGTGCTCAAGTTGCTCAGCTCCTGACTAGCAGCTCCTGAGGAGTCTCCTGATGTTTCTTTCTGCTGGAGACACCACTGGATGAGGGAAATGTCAGTTTCGACTAGCCTGGTTGACATATGTATTTATCTACCTCTGTGCTAATCTGTACAGTAGCTACTAGCCTCAAGTGGCTATTGAGTACTTGAAATGTGGCCTCTACAAATAGAGGTGTGCTCTAATGTAAAATAAACACCAGATTTTAAAGACTTAAAAATCTTTTTTTTTTTTTGGTGTTGAAATGGTAGTATCTCAGATGTAGGGGGTTAAATAAAATTAATTTCACCTGTCTTTTCACTTTTTTAGTGTGGCTGATAGGAAATTAAAAATCCCCCATCATTGCACATTATATTTCTGTTGAACAGCTCAGATCTAGCTGTTTGTATGATGGTTGTGGATACCATTTTTGATTATGACATTTTGATGCCCTTACTCAGCTATTCTCTGCCTCCTTTTAGAGGGAACAGTCAGCACCACCTCTGAGACTAATGGATGGTGCTGAGCTAGTCTTTTACCCTTTTCTGGAAGGACAGATTACAGGCTTCATGGACACTGAGAACAGAAATAGTGGGCCAGTACAGTTGCTTTTAACAGTGTAGTAACTAGAGCAGAACTGGCTAAGAATTTGAAAGATCATGACTGACAGAAGACAGTGATAGTCGTTCAGCAGTTGGGATTGTCTGCAGGCAGACTCTTGCCCCCGTGTCTGGAAGTACATGGAGATGTCATCATCCCTAAGCAGAAATGTAGGGAGTTTATTTCTCAGAATTACAGGGTGCATTCAAGTTGGGTGTGAGTATGTTGGCCTCTCCTCGCCCTCTTCTTGCCTTCTGCCTTAGCAGCAAATGACACACCATGTTCTCGTGAGCCCAGCAAATGCTCTCTTCCTTCCTCCCTCTGCGTTAGGCTGGTGATGAGTTTGTGGAGAAGACCCTGAGCAGCATGTCGATGAGCACAGATGCCGTGGCCGTAGTCCACAGCGCAGACCTGGTAGTGGAGGCCATCGTAGAGAATCTGGAGGTGAAGAACGAGCTCTTCAAAAGGCTGGACAAGTTTGCTCCTGAGTACGTAGCCCCTGGACATTCTTGTCAGGTTCTGAGGGCTCCCTCCCAGGGCCTAGTGCTTTCCTTCTTGCTTATTGCCTTCCCCAGGAAGGAATTTTCTGACACCAAGTCCTCCTCTCTTTCTACTACCCCACAGCCGTTCCAGGAGAGCCAGTACTGTTTCCTTCGTTCTCCATTCTCCCACTCCCAATTTTCTTCCTGAGGCTTGGGCAGCCCTGATCTGATCCTTGTCTCCAAATGAGGGTGAAATTACTGATGGTAAAATTGAGGGGTCCATCTAGGGACAGGCTGGTATGTTTCTTGCAGCATTTGGGTCTTGGGTCCTCCCATGCCTGAGAGTAGAGTAGGTTTGGGCATGTTTTTAAATGTCTGTTGAGAAACCTCAGAGCAGTTTCATGTTTCCCCTTTTTTGGGTGGAGCAAACACACTGACATGATTGTCTGTACAAAGTTGCCCAGGACTCTCCTGTTTTGAGCTCTACCTGGGTTCAGTTGAAACACTTTTGGGAACATTAAAGGATCACTGAATTCTTACCAGGCTTCCTGGCAAAGGTGACAGAGGAGAGCCAGACATAGGGGTGCGCAGGGATTGGGACTGTGTGCAGTGTTAACAAGCTTGTGCACACATGATGCTCAAGCTCACCTCACAGTCCAGAGACTTCGACTGTGTTTGACTCTTGACACCTAACTGATCGATTCATGCTCCCTTTGTGGCTTGCTTGGCGACACTTCACCCTTCCTGGTAGGAACTGAAAAGCAGAATAAGATTATATGACAGAAGTAATTCTCAGGGAGCCACCAGTGAACTGTGGCTAAAGAGAGACTCTCACATACCACCTATTGGAGTGTCAGCCCCAGAGCTTTGTGACATGCTGGCCTGAGAGTCCCTGCCCCTGACAGAGAGGAGACCTTTCTGCCATCTCTGAATCACTTTGCTGATCAGTGTGCTCGTGTGTTTCACACTGGCATTTAGGGGCTGCAGAAACATCTGACTAAACAGAAGACACTTTTGGTACAGTGTTGGCTTCCAAGTCAGTGGGGAGCCCTCTAAGATAATAAAACACTCAACCCAGGAAAGGGAGTTTTGTCAAGCAGTTTGGTCTTTATTGAAAGGTTGGCTTTTCCTAGTGACAGCGAAAAGCCTGACTGCCCTCCAGTGTCAGTGTGGGTAACAGAAGGACTGTTGTGGGGGAGTCAGGAGGCTTAGTCTAGTGCCAGCCATCCACCACTTCACTCTGTCACCTTGGAAAGGTGCTCAGTTTTATCATTTGTAATGTGAGTTGAGGGACTTGGGGTAAGTAATTTCCAAGACCATCCCAGTTCTAACTGTCTAACAAGTCTAACTACTCTAACTAGTCTAGGACCAATCTAAGACTAGTCTAAAACTGGTTTCCCTATCCGTAAAATAGAGGTGGTACCTATTCCACAGAGTTTTTTTGGAAACTAACTTAATTCACTCTCATTTCCTCAGTGCCAGGCACTATACTAGGCTGTTCACCTGAGTTTATGTAAAACAGATGTGACATGTGAAAGGAAAGTGTGTGACTATGGCAGGCATGCCCTAAGATGTGGCTTTGCTTCTGGCCTTCAGTCATCCTTCTCTGTACTCTTTGTTTTCATTTTAGATCAGCACCATTATTGAATGCTTGCTAAGTTTTTTTTTAAAGCAGCTTAATTGAGATATCCTTTACTGCTAAGTTTTACAGTTAGACCCTATAATGGGAGAAGACAATATGTTCAAGTCATAAAGTTCCCGTTGGAAGCCCCGATGAAACAATTGCATTCTGGAAAAGAATACAACTACTCTAGCAGCTAGTAGGAGGGGTCTTCAGAAAGTTCATGGAAAGATTCATATTATCTTTTAATTGTTTTTCCATGAACCTTCTGAAGTACCCTTTTATAAGAAGCACAAATGAAAAGCTTGACCAAGGCACATAGGAGCTGAGTCCTGGCTTTCTGTTTTGACAAAGCAGGGATCCTGTGATCCTAATCCTTTGCTGTCCCCTCCACCCCCTCTTGTCTTCTGGATACTAGGCCCTGGGGGTCTGGGGACATCGCTAATTATCATCAGACTTGTGCTGTCGATTTTATTCTAGTGCATTTAAGAGAAAAGCAGTTTTTTGGTACCTGAGTGTTAGAAAGAGAAAAACAAAAGATGGTCCACAAGATCAGGCGTTTCCAGGAAAATGTGAAAGTGTATTTCTTTGTGGAAGATAAGATGATCCTGTGTGTTTAGTATGTAAACACCTTGTGTTTGTTTGAAAGAAAGCAGTATGAGACCTGATAGGAGCAGAACCAGCCTGACCTGACTGGGACAGGTAGAGGCAGAGGTCCACTGGGAACACATTTTCCTCCTCCTGTTAAAATGTTCCAGGAGTGCCCTGGACTGGAGATGCCTGGGGTTGGGCTCTGATGTTACTTCAAGGTTTAGCAAACATGCCTGAGTTTCTGGTGTACCACATTATAAGTGTGATGCTAATCTTTGAAATAACCCTTTCTTTTCTTAAGGGAAGTGTGAGCCACGGCTAGCACAGCTGTGGGTCCAGGCCGTTTCTACTGCCGTCGTGCTTCAGGGTGCGTGGCTAAACAGCTCTTCTGTCAGCCACACGCACTGTTATTGGCACAGGAACTTTTTTCATTACCTTCTGTAATGGGGGATAGTTTATGTTATTTTTCTCCATTGACCAATAAAGCAAGAAACTTTGAAAACTAAAATTTTAAAACCTTCAAAATATGTCATTTAAAAAACAAAAGGCCTTAAATTGCCTAACTTGGAAGTTGTTTGAGAAAGGCAGTCTGTGCTAGTGCCTTGAAAGGGAAGCTCCAGCCACCGACCTATTCTGGCCTCACCTTTCTCCATACTCTTCCCTCCTCTCCAAATTACTGGTTTCTTCTCCCTTGCTCTCTTTGTCTCTTCCCACCCACCCCTGATTTTAGGCAGATTGTAGTATTGCCTTTTAGGTAAGCAGGAACCTCTGAATCTGGTCAGGAAGGGCCCACTCCCTGTGAGCAGGCCCTATCGTTGACGGTAGCATCGGGCATCACAAGGTGGCGCTATAGGAAAGCCTAGAAGTCTTGCCTGTCCTTGTTTAAAGGTTTGTCTGTCATGCCTTTGGCACCTGACTTTCCTGAAAATTAAGGAAAGATTGGTGAAGATTAAATATGCCTTTGGAACAGAAAACTTACTTACTTTAAAATTTCAAATTTAGGGCCGGCCCGGTGGCACACTGCTACAGTGTGCTGCTTGGGAGCGCAGCGGCGCTCCCGCCGAGGGTTCGGATCCCACATACAGACCGGTTCCCGCTCACTGGCTGAGCGAGGTGCAGGCGCAACACCGAGGGTTGCAATCCCGTTGCTGGACACGAAAAAAGACAAAAAGGAAAAAAAAAAAATTCAAATTTAAGTAAAACTGAGGTCACTTGATTTCAGCCTCTTGAATGAAGATGTTTCTTTTTCCTGACTTCCTCAGCAGGTGGGTCAGGAAAGCAGATCTGGTGGTGAGCAGTCACCTTGTGCATTGCACCTGAGAGCAGTGCTGACCGTTTCCAAAGATGAGACCACTCTGATATGCCACCATTTTTCTCTCTACAGACATACAATCTTTGCCAGCAACACTTCCTCTTTGCAGATCACAAGCATGGCCAATGCCACCACCAGACAAGACCGGTTTGCTGGCCTCCATTTCTTCAACCCCGTGCCCGTGATGAAACTTGTGGAGGTCGGTGGGTGTCTGTGTGTGTATATGTCTGCTTGCTCTGCCAGTGCTCTCGGTGCTGCTTTTCTGAGGTGCACCTGCCCTACAACCAGGGATTGATTTTAACGGGCGGGTGGAAGGTTGCCCCTTTGATTGTTTCACTTGCCACAGTCTGTCCTTTTCAGAGGCAAAGGAAGAAAAAATACCTAATATCTAGGAAGGCCTGTGTACTTTGTTTCTTCGTAGCCCTGGTTTTGACCAGTGATGTCCAGGAGGGCTGTTGACTTTGTGGCATGTAATTTACTTATTTGTGCCAGAGTTGATGGGTCATGCTGAGAGAGGCATCAGACTGGGAGGGCAGCACTAAAGGCCACAGGCTTAATGACACCACAGAGGGAGACCTGCACATGTTCATGTTCTCTCATTGAGGTCAGTTTGCTCCATGCTGTGAAAGGAAATTCTTAGGCCCACTATACTACCTTGTCCACCATTCCTGGGGTGACTTCTCTCTCCAAGTAACAGTGCCTTAGTATTGTCCCCAGATGAGGCACATCTCTTGTGTGTAGTGATCAGAGCTATTAAAAGGATCTTTTGATAGCCTTGAACTTCCTGACCACAAACCCAGAAGGTAGAGGGAATGGCCAGGGAGAGCTGCCCCCAGTGTTCCTGTCGGAGCTGCTTCTGCTTGCTTGCTTGCTCACTTGCTCGGAGACTTGGGTGTGAGGGAGATGGCGTCACAATAGAGGGTTTGCACCTGAAATGTGGCCACTTGCCTTTTACAGGGGGCTAATTGCAGGGTTTGAGGAGCAACCGCCATTAAAGTAGCATTTGTTCTGAGGCTGAGGAGTTATTGCCATGCAAAGTGTGGGGGACGCAGCTCATATGGGAGATGTGGAGCCAGGCAAACCTCCAGAGACTGGCTGTGGCCTCTGTCTGGGAGTGTGTATCAGGGTCGTTTTCCACATTGCTGCCTTCTCCTCCAACCCCCTTTCCCTCCTTTATTTCCCCAGAGCCACCCCTACCCCAGCATAAGCATTTTTAGTAAGGCATAACAATGACTACATTTTCTTAAGTTTTCTCTCAGGTGACAACTTTGACCCATCTTGCAATAGGAAATTATCTGTCCTACAAACAGCTTCTCAGCTTCTAATTTTCTCCCATTCCCTAAGGCTGTTTTTGAAGAAGTTCAGGAATGAAGGGGAGGGGCGTAGAGAACAGAAGACACAGCATTTATTTTTATGCAGAAAAGAGCAAAGAAGTGGAATGGAATTTTCAACATTTCAGTACTTAGGGATTGATTAATTTCTTTAGTTACTATGTCATGTACACATGTATTTTGGAGATAAAGACATTCTGTAGATTTACTTTAAACTCTAATGTTTTCAACTGCATTTATCTGATATAGTCTGCCTTTGTCTTTGGAAATGTAGTATGTTATTTGTTAACTTCTAATGCTTAGTGAATGTTACCATTTTCTAGAAACTATTTTGTGAGAGCGCTCTTCTCTATTCAATTTTTATTCTTTAACTTTAGCTCTTGCTTTTGTGTTTCTGGTCATGAACGCCAAAATGAATTAAATAATAAGCTGAGTGACTCCTCTCCTTTACTTGGGACTGGACTCATTTAAGTACAAACATACATACATACATAAATGTGTGTATATACACACCTACATGTATATATATTTCAGACTCTGTTGGAATTATAAGCAGAACGTCTGTAGCACATTGCTGTTTGCTAAATGAGTGAATAAACATGCATCCTTCCTGTTTAAACAAACAACAGCAGACCTTTACTATTGAATCCTTTAAACCAACAACTTATGTTTAAAACTCCATAATTAGTAGCTTTTGTCCTAGGTCCATCTATGTGGTTCTAATGGAGACCTCTTTAGACCTCCTTTGAACAGCGTTAGGATTGCTGTTTGATTTGTGATATCTGCAGGGTGGTTTCTGGTCCATCTCGTCCCGCTCCTCATCTCCCATCCTCATGGTGCTTTTTTCTGTTTTCACTCATTCACTTCCCTTAATGTCATAACATACCAGCACACCCCAGGCTGTGATCACATTAAAACATGAGAGATAGTACTAGCCTTCGTTTATATAGCACCTTTCATTCCTGCACACACACTAGCTCATTAAGCCAGATGGCCCTCTTATGGAGCAGGATGTGCCCATTAGCATGATCCCCATTTCGTACAAGAACAGTGAGGCACTTGCCTAAGCTCACATAAAGGGTCTGATGTAGAAGCCAAGCCTGTTCGCTTTGACTCTGGTTGAAGGTCTTTACTGGCACTTAAATTTTATGTATATATAAAGTTTAAATTCACCTGGGTCTCTGCATTTACCAAACTCCAATTCCTGACAGGTGAACTGTCTAAATGTTTGCTGAGGGCTGACTGTGCCAGGCATTATGCTTGGTGCCATCCCTATAGATGCCAGTGGGGTAGCAGTGGTACCCTTGCATGCACCTCAGGGAAGGAACAGGTAGCAAGCCCTGGCCGTGGGCCCTGTTGGCTGTAAATCATAGCCTCTGCAGGATGAGTCTGTTCTGAAGCAGAGGGGGCCATTGGCTTCTGGGGCATCTGTGTGGGAGAGGGTGGAGTAACAGGAGTACTCACATAGGAGTTTGAGATACCTGTGGCTTGTGCACATCACTCCATCTTCCTGGCGCTCCTTCTCTTCATTTATGGTAGAACATGGGATTCCGTGCAGAGAACTTTGATGGCAATCATCATACTCTCCTAGACTTCCAGTTACCAACCTCAAGTAATTAATAACAGCAAGTAAAACAATAACAAAAGCCAGCATTTGCTAAGCACTTCAGTCTTCCTCAGAGCTGCACTTAGTGTTTTACCCCCAGTCTAATTTCATTTTCACCTCAACTCTGTGAGGTGGATAGAGTGATTCTAGTGCCATTTCAATGTCAAGAAACATGTCCAGGGTCACACAGCCAATAACTGGTTCAATTGGAATTTGAACCCAGTCTGTCTCAACAACAAAACCTGTAAAACTCCCCTGCACGCACACACACATGCATTTTAAGTCTTGATTTTGTATATTCTGCAGTACTCCATTGTCTTAAAATGGACATTCTGGATAATATTTTGTTTCTGGCTTGGGCTCTCTACTTCTGTGCTGAAACTAAAATTATTTTCACCACCAGTATGTACCTGTTTGATCGATGTTTCCTTAAACCATTCTATTAAAGTTATTTGCTAGGTCTCCAGTCATAATTCTCTGCTTTGCATTTTCAGGTCATTAAAACACCAATGACCAGCCAGAAGACATTTGAATCTCTGTTAGACTTTAGCAAAACCCTGGGAAAGCATCCTGTTTCTTGCAAGGTAGAGTATGGGCAGCTTGGATAGGAGGTGATTTTCCTTAGAGCCTGACTTTTTCTTGGTAGAATTCTTCTAATAGACTAATGTAAGAGGTGGGGTGATGTTTATTGCAGGCCTGTTCACATGCTGTAAAGAACAGGTAGAGAAGCTGGACTCCTAAGCCATGCCTAAACCATAGATAGTCTGAGTTCTGAATGGAGCCCAGGGATTCAGCTGAATAGAAGACTTGGGACTTCTCTGTGGGTCCTGGCTTTTATCTGTTGATGAATGGCTATGTTTTTATAAGCAGTTTTTGTTGCCCCATCAGCTTTTCACTTCTGTTGGGCCACTGGAGTCAGAACCCTGTGTGTCAGGTGCATCCTGGTATACACATATATCCCTAAAAGAAAACTGGGGCTCTACTTTTAGAAAGAACACTACAGATGGGTAGGGAAATGATGAGACAGGAAGAGATCATCCTGCACAAAGTAGCATTAGTGAAGCTGTTTCTAAGTAGAATGTTCATTGTGTTTTTGCTTTGTGGCATTTTTTTTTTTCGATAAGAAGCATGGTTGAATGGAAAGCATGCTTCACCTCTAGCTTTTTTTCCCTTTCTTAAGCTACCCAGTTATGTGTAAAATGATCCCAGTTGCTGAAATGATAACCTACTTCATTTTGATTACCTCCAGTTTCTCTATTTGCTTTAGTTTCTCTTTAATTCCCCCCAAACTCAGGGACTGTACTTCTGCATGGTTTTGCAGTTTTTCTAAAAGGGTAATTGTGTCACAAAATGCCACACCACTACAATGTTTTATAAATAAGTCATCTACTTTTTTGACTGTTCTATCATTATTATTCTTCTCATGGCATACTTTTGCTTTCTAAAGCGTTCTTAAGTTTGAACTCACAGTATTGAATTAACCCCCTTGTTCATGAATCATCTGAATAAGCCATCCATTGAGGTGGACCCTAGTAGCCAAAGAGAGCACACTTGTAGGTCCTGTTCCCCCGAGGCCAGGAGTGCAGTGTTATTAGAGAGTCTTGTTTTTTAACACCCATTTTTTGTTTATTTAGTTCTATGGTTTCACATCATCTGAGTTTTAAAAAATCAGATTAATCAGATTAATATCTGGATGTTATGGTTGCACTTACCCATTTATGGTTTGTTAGGAGAAAGAAGTAGTAATCGTGTTAGAAAGAACATCAGTGCAAGGCAGATCAGAAGTTGGATATGGCAACAGGAGTGCAGGAAAAAGCCAGTGATTGTCTTCAGCAGCATAATTCATTGAGTGTGATGATTCATTCAGAGTGGCCATTGCAGCTGCCAGTGCCAACTCTTCGGTCCTATGAAACTATTCTTGTTAGGTCATCCCAGAACTCTTTCTCTGTGTGCTATCTTAGGGCTATCTGGGGATCTTTCTGGGTCAGTTATTCAAGCTCATGATGAGGCATCCACACAATATGTGATAACCGCATAAAACATGGGAAAGCAAACTTTTCTGTACAGGGCCAGGTAGTATTTCAGGCCATATGGCTCTGTTGCAACCACTCACTTTTGCTCTTGTAACGTGAAAGCAGCCATAGACAATACATGTGGGTGTGAGTACGGCTGTGCTCCAGTAACACTTTATCTACAAAAACAGGCTGTGGGCTGGATTTGGCCTATAATATCATAGTTTACCAATACCAGACGTAGTAGAATGACGTTAACGTGCCTAGAATATGTCTTCATAGTGAGACTTTATGGGAAGAGCATGGTATAAAGGCTAAGGGTCTGGCCTCTGGAACCTGCCTGACTGGATTCAAAACCTGGCTCTGGCACTTACTCGCTGTATAACCTGGGGTAAGTTACTTAACCCCTCTGTGCCTCAGCGTCCTCATGCCTCACATAGGGATAATAATAGTACCTATCTCAAGGGGTTATTATGAGGAATGAGTGAATTAATATTTGTAAGGACTTACTATAGTGCTTGACACATAATAAGTACAATAAATAAATATGTTTATTAAATAAATAAAAGTCTGAAAAATGTAAGGGATACAATTATATACAACTAAATTGCTTTGTTAAAGGACTGTGTCTTTTTATATTCCACCAATATTCTGAGAATACCTATCTCTCTGCATCTTCAGTGGCATTGAATATTATAATAATGGGGAAAAAACCCTTGATAATTGCAATAGCAAAAATGCTATTTTATTCTAATGTATATTTCTTTAATTACTAGTGAGTTTAAATATTTTGGGAGTTTTAGCGCTTTTTCCTTATTGAACTGTATGAGCTCCTTCTGTAGAAGATATTAACTATTATAATTAGAACAAGTATTTTTCCCTGCTGCTTTCTTCATGTTCTCAGGTATCCTATCCTGAGTTTCTACAATAAACCTTTTGAAGTTGAAAAGCATATTGTTGCCTGCGTTATAAAATTAACATTGCTTCATTAATATTGTCACATTTACACTGATAAAAGTTGTTTGTGCATCTCTATTCCTGTGGTGATAGAGGTAGCAGTCGGTTTCAGCTTGTCCAAGATTAAAGGAGGTACAAATCCTATTGCTTTACTGTCCAGTTTGCACAGCGTGCATTGGGTTAGATCTGTGAGTAATGCTGGAACCTGGTCATCTTTAATTCAGATGTTAATGGAGTGCCTAGTGTGTACCCAGGCCAGGGTAGATTTCTGCCCTCTGGAAGATCACAGCCTTTTGACAATCAACGTCACATAAATACCACCAAAAATTTACAAACCTGGTCTTCTCCAGAAGTCACCAAAAGAGATCCGTAGATAAAATCCAAATCCCACACTGGTCCTCCTGGAGGGATGAAGTATTTTACTGAAGAGGGAAATCAATGGAAAGGGTGTGCATACATGGAGTCACCCAGGGCAGAGGGTCTTAGGTGGTGTGCCATGGAAGGCCAGTGATCAGCTCATTTGTCCTGGCACCTGTGTGCTGGAATGTGAGAAGATACTGACTAGCCCAAGAATGGCTCCAGGGAGCCTGGAAAGTGGTGCTCCTTTGAGGATTGTCCAGGATGAAGTGTTACTTTTTCTAGATTCCTGAAAGGGAAGTGGGAGAGAAGAGTAAAGAGGCCACCATTTCAGAGTAGGGCATATGCACAGCATCTTACCTGTTGTCTGTTTATCTTCACAACAACTGTGAGGGAGAAATTATTACCCCCAATTCACAGATGATGAAACAGTTTCAGAATGGCAGGAAGAGAGTATTAGAAATAGAGCCCAGATCAGCCTGCCCCCAAAGCTGTGCTCTTCCTAGTGACCCCTCTGTTTTTTAAGTACTATGATTGTTGCATAAATTGTCATGAGATAGAAATAAGGCTGTGCTAGTACTTAAAAACAAATTTTGAAAATGTATAGCTTGATTAAAAAACATAGTCCATGGTAAGAAGGGGCAATCTGGTGACTTCAGAAAAGATCAAGTTTAATGAAAATTTACTTGTCTTTTCTTTTTCTCCTCCTAAAACAGGACACTCCCGGGTTTGTTGTGAACCGTCTCCTGGTGCCATACCTTATGGAAGCAGTCAGGCTGCATGAGCGAGGTATGTGTCCTGACCCAGTCTGGGTAGAGGTCTGAGCTTCGAGTGTCGTTGTCTGCAGTTCTCATGCAGTGTCTGCAGGAAGGGCTGGCCATGCAGAGCAGAGGTTTTCTAGTGGGTGAGCTCAGCTACACCCTGGGCCCTGGCACCTTCATCACTGGGTTCCCAGAGCCCCTGGATTCCCTGTGAGGCCTCTGAGAAGTGCTCTGGGACACCCGCCCCCCCCCCTCACCCACCCCACTGCAGTCCCAGCCAGAGCAATTGCACAGCCAACCCAGATTTATATCCTGGATATCTGCTTCTGGTTAAAAGGTTTACTGCCTTAAAAAATGATGATAATGTAAAAATCACTAGGCTAGGGGATCTTTAAAGTTCCGTAAGATTCTAAAACTGCCACAGTATGAGGGGTGAGGAGAAATAAGTGATAAGCCAGATATGTGATGAGGACAGTTTCTAGCAGCCCTATGTTCATCTTTACTGAGTGATGTTATAATGCATTTTTTTAACCTAAAGAATGGTCTAAAATTTTCCCTCAATACTTGATTGGCAAAGAATGATCTTCCATGATGTGGAAATATAGGACTCGGGACATGGTCCAGGGATGTACATCCTCCTGCCTACTTTCTCTCCCCTGTTTCTGGAAAGGTAACTATCATGTCTGCTTCAAAGGCAAATGAGCCGTAATAGGACTGGGTGAAAAGCAAGTGTAATTGTTTTCAATTACTTCATTCACAAATGCTTGCTCCTGAGAATGTCATTTTTGAAACAGAACATTTACACCAGCTCTTCCAGAGAGATGAAAGCACATTTGCTCCCTCAAAACCTGCTTTAAATATTAAAACTTTTCTCTGTGGTTTATGGAAGTGATTGCCGCATTTTTGCTCCAAGATCAAACCAACACTTCTGTGTTTATATATCAACAAATATGCCTAATTACACCTCAAAGAAAGCGTGAAGCATTTTGCCCTACCTTGAAAGGCAGTCATGTGTGTTTTCTTTTAAGTAAAATGCAATGTTTAGAATGTAGCATGTAGGTGAGCCACCCCTTAACGGTGCTTTTCTCACTGAAACACACTGGCCCTTTGATACATTCTCAAGTGTACCAAGCATCTGATGGTAGTGTGAGAGCCATTTTCTGGTCTTCTGCTTCCCCACCAGCAGTGGTCTGTTTCTGAATGGGTGGCTGCCCTTTGACCCTTCCCGTCACTGGCCGCCTGTCAGTTGAGACCATAAGGGGGGGATCTGACCCCATGGGGGATGTGCTCTTAGTTTGCTCTTGGTGCTGCTCTAGACAGCCTGTCATTGCTGGTCCTTTGCCTCTTTCTCCACAGCCTTCTTGGGGCCTGTGAGCCAGAGCGTCTGCTTCCGAAGGAGCTGGGTGTCATGTCTGGGTGGCTGCTGGTTGTCAGCAATGTACACTGCTGTCTGGACTTATGTCACACCCCATGCATCTTACCAGGTCTTTTCTGCTGCCTCGCTGCTCCCTCCTTTTTCAGCCAGCACAGGGGAGTGTGTAGACGCACGGCCGCCACCCCGTCTCCACTGGCCGCTCTGAGCTGCTGGCTGAGCTGCAGCATTCCCACTTTGAATCATCTGGATGCTCCCTCTTGTCTGTCACGTGTGCTCACTGCTTTTGATTCCTCCCTCTTGTGGTTGTTCCACCTTTTAATCCCAGCTCACCCTATTCCAGTTAGGCTACCCTTAGTGGGCTCCTTCAGGCAGCAAAGGTCCCCTCCTCTGGGCTTGCTGGGAAAGTCATGTTGCCAAGGAAATGGAGGAGATGCTGCACCCTGTATCTGCCCAGGACCCAGCAGCAGAGCAGAGCCTCTGCAGACATGCTGTGGCTTTGTTGCTGAACTCCTTTGGGGAGAACTTTTCTGTATCACACCATTGATAGACCTGGGGCTTGGGTGCTCTGAGCACAATAGTTGGCAAATGCTGCTTTGAGTGGTGGAGGCTCATCAAAGGATATGTGGAATATTAGAGCAGAGAATCATCTTAGCCAGCTCCTCTTGCTGACTCCCCACGGGATCTGGTGGAGGCCCATTGACCTTTCTTACCTCTGCTGTCTGACTGCGCCTCGTGGCTTCTGTGTTGGGCTTTTTTCTCAGCGTTCTTTGGCTCTGTCCTCACTCTTTCTTTTTCTCTCCTCCTCAGAGGGACACAGGCTGGACAGGCTGGTGCTCCACTAGACTTCTGCCCCTGTCAAGCCCCCACTGTGGTTGGTCAGCTCTGGCAGGGTGGTGGGGGCCACATGGTTAGCTCTTCTCAGGAGGGCTGTGCTGGTCGCATCCCTGGAAGTGTCGTGAGCCTGTCCCCCAGTCACTGTATGACATCCTGCTCACACTGTCACCCCTGCCTCAAGACATGCCTAGTGGTTCTGTGGGAACCTAGCAGATGCAAGTTCTGCTCAGAGACCCTTCTTTATCCTCACCTTCTGCCCCTGCTGTCCTCACCACATACCTCACTTCCACTTGTCTCACGAGGCCCCACCTGAGTGTCCTCAGTGTTCCATCCTGGACCTTATCTCTGACTGTAACTCTGTGCTTTGGCTCTCCCTTGGGTCACTTGCACGGCACGTGTCTCTTCCTTTACTGTGCTGTGTGCTGGGGCAGTATCTGGTCCTCCTCATCTTCCTACCCCCAAGTGTTTGCATAGTATTGGCATTTAGGTGGCTGTTGGTGAGTAAAGGAATGCTGGCTGCACATCTCTGTTCCTTGTTGCTGGGAGCCTCTGCTGTTAATGCTGAGAGTGGCTGGCAGGTGGTGCCAGTGAGCTGGCAAAAGAAACATGCCGGGGCAGGTCCCAGGGCCCCAGCCATGCAGATCTGGGAGTTCGCTGAGAAGATTTTCTTTGATGTCTTGTCCAGAGTTAGGGGCTTTTAACTGTGTGTGTGTGGGGGGTGGGACCGTGAACCTCCTAAAGCTACTGCAAAATTTGGTGTGCGTGTGCATTTTTTATAGAGAGGATGTCAAATTCTCAGAGAAGTACTTGACTCTAAAGAAGATTAGAGATTATTGGTCTAAAACATGATTCCACATTTACCTCTCACTTGGCACACCAATCTCTGGTGTGTGTGGAATTGTTTAGATTTTTTTCTGCTATGTGCTGTATCTTCATATTATTTTTTTTTAAATAAAAAAGTCCTCAAGTGTGTCTCTAAATCTGGAATTATAGTCTTGCCTTTAGGGCTCATTGTCCTGTCCTTGAATACAGATATGATTAAATGGCTTTAGGTAAGTTAGGACCATACTGAATGAACCTGTAGATAACATGCTAGGGTGTGGCTAGTAATTGTGGGGAAGATAGTCAAGGGGTAGCAGGACTATTCCTGGACTGGAGTCCTGGCAATTGCTATTTTATATTCAGGGAGGAGGGGTTGGCTCTCTGATAAGGTGACACCTGAGCAGAGGCCTGAAGGAAGCAAGAGGTTGAGCCCCAAAGATGTCTTGAGGGCCGCCCCCGGGCACAGGGAGCAGGGAGCAGCAGATGCTGATCCCCGAAAGGAGCCTGCCAGGCTGTCACTTCCAGCATTCCAGGGCTCTCACAGCACAGAAGCCTCAGGGTCTAATGCCGTCCTCGGAGCAGAATCCACACTAGAGCTGTGGGGCCGCATCCCAGATGCAGTCACGGGCTTCACAACGACCTCTCGGTCAGCGATGGGAGGAGTGTAGACGGTGGCCATAGGTGTGGTAGGCTATACCATCTAGGTCTGTGTAAGTGTACTCTGATGTTTGCACACGACATATTTCTCAGGACATGTCCCCATCATTAAGCAACACACTACTTCTCATTCCTGCCTCTGCACATGCCGCTCTCTCTGCCCAGGATGCCCTGCCCTGCCCACTGTTCTCTTGAGAGTCCCCTCACCCTTTAGGACCCAGGCCTCGGGGCGGTTTTGGTGGCAGCCTGAGCAGATCTCCTCTATCTTTGCTCACACAGAGGTGTGTAAATCTTCGTGAATCATCAGCACTTGTTATGTTGAGATTTTTGGCTTATGTATCTGAGTCCTTCCATGACATCATAAGTAGCTTGATAGTCTCACTCTATGTCTCTGTTGCCTGCTACTTAATAGACATGAATAAAAGTTGAATGATGAATTGAGGAATGAATGAGCCTGCCTGACAAGGCTAATTAATATGATTATTTTTGCTTTCTTGTGGCCTCATACTCAAACCATGATTTCTCAGGAGCCACTAATCTGGATTAATGTAGTAACAATAATTTCACCCATAAAAATAATCAAGTGGCATTTTAATCACCTTAAACTGCCTTGAAATCCTTTGGCATTACTTAGTACTTCACATACTTTTTAAAAATATAGTCTTTATAGATATGTAAGTAGTTCTTGCTCCTTGTGCCTAAACATCTGAAATTTTTAGGTATGAAATCTTCTCTGAGCGTTTTAACATTTTTTCTCCTTTTGTTTAGCTTTGGTATGATTGATTGCTTCTTTATGCTTTGGAACAAAATTCTAAATAGTTTCTGATTTCAGAGAAAGGGAAGAGGTTGTTCTCTGGAAAGGCCTGTTGTGGCTCAAGAACAACACATTAAGGGTAAAATTCCAAGGGAAAAGCATATTGAACCTTGTGTTAGTCTACTCTATACACTTTAAAACATGCATGACAATTCTAAATCAGGTTTGGGCTTTTCTTTAAACAATTATCTTGACTAAAGGACTTGTGTGAATGTGATTCCAGAGGAATACTCATTCCTTGTAAAAACAAGAAAGCTGGAAAAGGAAAATACGTGTACAACATATACAAAAACAGAGAGCTTAGTTCTTTTCTTTTTTAAAAAAGCCCATTCGTAAATCAAAAATATGCTCTATCTTTAAATGATATTTTAGTAAATGATTCCAGAGTTGGAATTCCCAGTCCATTAGAAAGTAACTAATGTTTCCTGGCCCTGAGGCCTTATCACTCCACAAACAAGGCAGCAGTGCTCTAGAATTCACCTCACATGGTACAGTAGCTTTGAATATCTTGTGACCTATGTGGCATGTATCTCTCAGAAAAAAATCTTACGCGAGCCATAAATACTGACTCTAGACATTTTTTGAATGTGCAAGTATATAAAATTTTAGGAATTCTGGGACTGACCCCATGATAGGGAGATTATGGGAAGGATGGCTCAGTCCTGCCTTTTTTCCTTAGGTGATGCATCCAAGGAAGACATTGACATTGCCATGAAGCTGGGAGCTGGCTACCCCATGGGCCCATTTGAGCTTCTTGATTATGTTGGGCTGGATACTACGAAGTTCATCATGGATGGTAGGAATTGGAATTCTTTATTGTCTGTCTTTAATTGAGTTGAGTCTCTCTAAAATATGAATTGTGGTGCCTGTTTAAAACAGAAATTATAAGGAGTCTTAGCAAAGACCATCCAAAGTCCTGCCTCACCAGGTTAAGAATTCATTCTAACAGATGGCAGGAGAAGGCAGAGTGTGGCTGCCCGGTGTCCCTTAACGGGTAACTTTTTTTTTTAGCTTTTCATTTTGAAATAATTATGGTTTCACAAGAAGCTGCAAATAAAGCTAGTTTCCCACAATGGTTATGTAAAACAATATCAAAGCCAGGAAATTAACATTATTACACTTGTATCATTTTATCTCTAGTTGATTTTTATGACCTCCATTACAGTGAAGATTCACAGCCATTTATGTATTCATTTTAATGTAGTGGCTTTGAAGGCAGGGTAAAAATAATTATTAAAACTGGACTACTGAAGTTGAATGTAGCTTACTACTCCCAAGTTTCACAGAAAATACGTATGTATTTGGGAGGATGAGGAGGGGTCTAGTTGAAGTATGAAATTTTGAGTTTTATGAGGATGCAAAATACCAGTAATAGGAATTCAGATTTTTAACATGTATTCTGAAAGCTAACTGTGCCACCGAGGAGTCCAACCAGCAAATTAATGGGCTCTGTCAGTGTTCTTGGGCCTTTGGCCTTAGTGACTTGCAGGAAGAGAATGGATAAACAGGAGGGCCGTAAGAGAGCCAGGTTTTGAGCAGCACTGGCAGGTGGCAGATGTGGCTGGACCAGCGCAGCCTTCCTCGTTCCCCTCCCGTGGAGGCCTGAGTGGGTACCATGCCAGCGTAGGGGCCCTCCTCCCCAGGCTGTGCCTCCAGACTTGCACTTTGTCCTAAGCCCTTTTCCCTTCTCAATAGGGTGGCACGAAATGGATCCAAACAACCCCCTGTTTCAGCCCGTCCCATCCATGAATAAGCTGGTAGCAGAGAAGAAGTTTGGCAAAAAGACTGGAGAAGGATTTTACAAACACAAATGATGCTCAGCTTTTCCGGCTCCAGGAAGAACCCCGTGAGCATGTACCAGCCAGCGCCTGAGTGCCCGCGGGAATGCTCCTTGGTCAGCCATTCCCTCCCAGAGCACAGTCGGTTCGATATGTATTTTGATTGTAATGTATCTGAAGCAATTATGTACACTAGTTACAGTAATAACAGATTCCTTCATTGAGAATTAATTCCCTTTTTTTTTAGTCTCTTCATTTCTGTGTATTTTCTGAAAAGCTTTACACCCTTGGTGCCTTGGAGTAAGCATTTCTTTTGAATCTTGTTATTTTTGTAAAGAGTTGCCTGAATTCATTCACTCATAAAGGGGAAGCACTTCCTCCGAGAGTGAGAGTGTGCAGTGTTCATCGTTACTTCGAGGGAGAGTCATGAGCCATTTGCACGCGTGCGGTGTGTCTGTGACATGCTGCAGCGGGCAGCACCTAAATCTTGCCTTTACAAGAACATTTTGCTACCTGTAGCTTCAGGCCTTCCGCTGCATTCTGACATGAGCTGTTAGGTCTTTATTCAACTCATCATCAAGATGCTGCTGTGGATTGGTGGGAATGTCTCTGTGCTTGGATTGCAGGTTGAGGCCTACTTTCATGGTCATTCAGATACACAAATCTTAATTACTGTCTGTCTCTTTCTAATTTCTTTTTTGTGAGAAATATGTGTTGAAAACTGCCTATAAATTGACTCTGATGAAGTGCAGTCTTTTAATCTGTGAAATCTTGAAATAAAAATGTATAATTTAAAATTGTAATATGTTTAAATGATTACAAAAGTAAAAAGTTGATAATTTAGGCAGAAGCTGTTGCCCATCTTTTCTGGCCTATTATTTTTTAAAGTGGCAGTGATGGGGAAGGAATGGCAGGAGAAGGCATTTGTGTAAAACCTGCCTGCGCTGTCACTTCCAGATTCCTTAGCAGTGTAGTGGTAATACAGGCACAGAGAATGATTTTTAGGTATCATCTGTTTCTTCTTTGTCAACAAAGTGAAACAGTGTAACATAAGCTTCTTTTAGTCATTGGCTTGAGAAAGTATCTTCCAACACAGAATTTTGGAATTGGAAAAACATAAGAAACGCTGAGGTCCTGTGGCCTCATTAGCAGAGAGCTTAAATGATGTGCCCGAGGTTGCCAGATATTTTGTAGCACAGCCTGGATTGGAACTAGTTTTTGATGATAAAATTAAATACAAAATAGCAAATTTGTAAATCTCAAATCTGGACTTTCAGACAGGACTGTCCCCAAAATGGGTGGGTGTCTGTTATCCTGGGTCATAGTTCTAATGGTTGTGAGATTTTTTTCTTCATTTCATGATCGATAAAAGGGAGCTTATTAATTTTTTAAAATTTGAATCTATTGCATAGTGAGAAAATAAGTAAATACATGTATTTCTACCACATACAGAACCTGGTTTGGGAAGCTCTAAGGCAATACCTAACTGACAAAAGGAAGTGCCTGTGAACCACCCCCATTTCCATCGCCAAGGGTCACCCTTGTGGGCTGACAGCTCCCTGCCTACTCTCCAGCTGGCTCTTGACCTTTCACATGAGCCTTGGGCATAGGAAGGGCCTTCACTTCCTCCCTCTCTGACCAGAGTCCATAGAGCACTTGGGCCCTTGTCCTGGAAGTGGCGATTTGGAACATTCTTCTCTTAAGCCTGGGAGGTGGGGAGCGGCTTTCTCTTCCCGCGCACCACGTGTCTGCGTTCTCAGGTGAGCACAGCCACTTCCCACGGAGATCTCTGTGGGGGGAGGAAGGTCTCATCAGTCAGGTCCTCTGCGTCCAAGTATGGGCCAGCTGCTGCTGCTTGCTGCGGTCTGAGGCCGAAACCTGAGCCTTCAGAGGAGCCGCGGGTGCCTGGCGTTTCCCTCCACTGTGTTTGGCAACACTGGACAGGGAGGGTGAGCCCCGGCAGTGCTGCCGGCTCCGGCTCTGCTGCTGCAGCTTCTCACCGCCCAAGCTTGCCTCCAACGGCAGCCATGAATCTTTCGCTGCATTCGAAATCAACTACCAGGGTTTAGGGCAAGAGGATACGTTATTGTTTCCTCTCTCTTCTACTTCCCCTTAGTGGTATTTAGTGAAAATTCGAGATTAAAATGAGAACCATAATTTCTGAAATGACTTGTTGAAAAAGACAAAGTTAGGCTCTGAATGTAGCCATCAACTAGACTTCAGTCGTGTTCAGTAAATGGTGTTCTCTGAGGCATAGTTGTAATGCTTACGAAGATGTCTTTGTAAAATAAAAATCATGGCCCTTTAATGTCCGTAAGATTCTAATAACAGTTTCTCAGGGGAAAATGGTTGGCTAACTTCTGTTGACATCAATTGTAAGGTATAGTTCCAGTTTAGGAACTGTTAAGAGGCACAGCGTGGAGGTAAGGTGGGAACCAAGTCTTGAAACTGAGAAACTTTGTTCTAAAAATCTGGTGTTACAAAATGATGCTCCACTGAGTTCTGGCAAGTAGTAAGTTTTACAGACACCCGTTTGAGATTTAGCCACTCATCACTGGAGAGGGTAGAACCAATACGTTAGTTATGGCTTATACAACAACCTACGCTAATTATGCATTCTCTCCTTGTGAGTTATTATAGTTCACACACTGAAAACAAGCTTTTTTCTTGTCCCACCTTGATTTTAATCCCCTTAACATTTCAACCTAGCTAACTGATTAAGTGTACCAAAAATGTAAGGTGTGGCTATAATTTTATGGGACTAATTTTCTTGTAAACAGGCATTGATGCTACATAAATAGTAATCCAAAAAATGCTTCAAACAATGGAATTACTGCTGTACTTTCAAGACTGTACTTGGAAAGAACTGATTTGGTTGTGTAAATTCTATTTTTTAAATTGGTCTCAACGTTTTATAATCATGGTTTTTAATGTTGATTTTAGCAGTTTTTTCTTAGCTACCATTTTGAAATGATAAAATTAACTCCTGAAAGAACCTAGTCTTTGATACTAATACTACTCAATATTTTATTTAAAATCACCAGCTATAGCTGCTTCAGGATTAATTAGTATAACTAATTAATACCATGGACATTGAAATTAAACAGCCTTGGGTTCTAGTTCTCAGCTCCACTCTCTTTACCTTTGTAACCTAGAGAAGTTGTTTTTTTGATATATCTGGTAAATGGGCATAATGATATCCCATAGGGTTACTGAGAATCAAATGGATATCAAGTGTTGAGTGCTCTGCTTAGAATACATTGGCCAATTGTGAAGGAAGCCACAGTAACCTGAAGGTTTACAGATAGCCCTGAACATCTGACACGTGGGCAAAGTGGGCTGAAGATTGGGAACAGGCCTGAGTCTTTTATGAGTATTAGAAGTTAAGCTGTTGGGCCACCTGGGTAAAAAGACCAGTGCTGGAGCGCCTGCTTCATCCCCACAGCTACTCTGGAAGGTCTTTCTGAGCCTTCCGAGAGGTGCTTGTCAGAGCTAATAAGGAAGGGGTAGCACTCAAGGAAATGGTCCAGTGGGCTAGAAGGGGTGGCTGTCACTCAGGTAAGTATGTACGAGCAGTAAACTGGATGAGTTCAGAGCCCAGAAAAAAAGCAACCATAGGAGAGAAGTTCCCAAGATTCTCTGCACATGTGGTAATTAGAGAAGTGGTGGTGTCTGAGCAGGAGAAAAACTATACTTCATCCTATCGTAATGTGATGTAGTTTAAAATGATATTAGGTGAGCTTCAAAAGATTTCTTCAGCGCAAAATTGTGGTAATGAGTCCCCACCAGGTCTGTTAGTTACTTCAGACAAGGGAGCATAGCAGGATCGCCCCTTTAAGGTTGAAACAAATTCAAGGTGCTCTTGATTCATCGTCAAGGAGAAGGTACCATAACTGACTTAAACCTTGGTTCGTCAGGGTAGAGCCCCTTTGCATGACAGAGTGGTGATGCAGGCCTTCATGATGCCCAGAAGTGTGTCTGAGTGTGCGTCCCCAAGCCTCAGCAAGACACCTCATCCTCATTTCTGTAGTTGTACTCTTGATCAGGCAAGCAGGTATTAGAAGGGACCACCTGCTGCAGTAAGAACTCTGCCTCCTGCTTAAAGGGATGCCATAAACTCTCCTCGTAAACAGCCACCTGACTCAGAAATACCAGGTTAGAAGACAGGAAATGGGAAGCCTCCAAAACCAGCAGTGGGGGAAGAAGACATTTTCGAAACTGAGTTTTCTTTTTTTTGAGACCGGCCGCACCGCGCTCAGCCAGTGAGCACAGTGAGCGCACCGGCGATCCCTATATAGGACCCGAACCTGCGGCGGGAGCGCTGCTGCGCTCCCAGCGCCGCACTCTCCCAAGTGCGCCGAGTGCGCCGTGGGCTCGGCCCGAAACTGAGTTTTCTACTTGGGGGAGTTTGGATGATCAAACCTAAATGCATCATTCCAATGCCGAGTGCAGGTTTTGGCATCTGCTTCTGGGAAGACAGTTTTCCAGAGCCCCTTATCCTGAATATTAAAGCTGTAGGGCAAGGTGATAGTACAGAGCAATCTTTCCCACCAGCACATCAATGTGCAGTAGGACCAAGAAGGCAGAGTGGAAAAGCCATTGTCTAACCCCGAAGTCTACACAGCAGGTGGAGACTTTAGATTGTACATTCATGAACATGCTGGTCTAAGAGTGAACAGTGCACAGGGATGCTTAGAACCAGCTATCCTTTCAGCACTTGGTCTCGGTGGATTCTGCCAATAACTGGAAGACGCTGTCATGAATCATAGGCCCAAGGTAAGGTATTAATACTTATATCTGGATTTCTGTTGTCCTTTTCTCTGTGTGTGTGTGTGTGTGTGTGTGTGTGTGTGTGTGTGTGTGCGCGCGCGCGTGCGCACGTGTGTGCATGCTGGGGCTTGTCTTTTGCTAAGAGGGAGAACTAATTTATGGCATCCCTTTATTAAAATCACAGCCAATCCCAAATGCTGGAAGAGGACAGCACAGCCTGTTCATGTGCTTTGCAATTTGCCGTTTCCACCTCTCCCCAGCGAACCACAGCCTCCTTGGGACTCTGCACCCTGGAGTCCCTGATCACAACTTGGAATCTCCTAGCCCGACTGGCTGAAGATGTCATCATCCAGTCTGAGGGTCCTGTTCTAGGGAGTAAAGGCTGAGGGAGTGAACAGGTGATCATTCTAAACAAGGGTGAGGAAGAAAGTTGCAGGGTCTCCTTCGGGCTGAAAGCGCTGGAAAGCAGGATGGCTTTTGTACAGGTTGCCTGGATGGGTTTGTGCTCTGTACAACTAGGCGCTGAGGAAAGAACAGCCCCAGTTAACTGGAACCTGAGAAGGGAAACAGGCATAGCCTGTGCCAGATGCCAGCATGTGCAAAGAGGTGAGATTGTGCCCAGGGCACCTCTGGGCTCTGGTGAGCCCTGCAGTGGGCATGGGCAGCCCTTGCTTTGTGAGGTTCGAAGGGCGTAACCAGAACCGGGTGTGGAGGGCAGGCCGCACAGTAAAACTATTGTCTCTTTCTCCACATGGGCAGTGGGTATCCAGACTAACTGAAAGGACCTACAACAACCACTGGCCAATTTGTGAGTCTCCCTTTTACTTTGGTTGCTTCATACATTTTCCTGATGGAAGAAAGTATCATTACAGCACAGAACACATTTCAGCAACTGTGCTCAAATTTTGAGACAAATTAAAGATGGAGAAAATGACCAATCTGCTATTGTACTGTGACTACAAAGGGAAACAAGATGATGTGTGATTACGTCTACTATTTGTATGCAGTGTTCTTATTCCATCTAGCAAATATTTTCTACCAATTTCTCCCACATATTTAATGCAGATTAAAAATTTAATTAATTTAGGTGGTTAACATCTCAAGCTATTATAGATTAAGGAAAATATTTAATGAACACATCAATGTAGATGACCCAATAAAATCCAGACTCTGTCCCTTTTGTATAAATATTACCTTGATCTAGAGTCCAAAACAGATTGGTTAATCCTGGTTACCAACTGCTTCCCTGGGCAGAAGAAAAATGCTCGTATGTTCTGTGGCTATAGACAATACAAAAACAAGATATTTTTTACACTAGACAAAAAAGCATGTTTTCTAACAAGTTCTAAAACAACTCAAGGGGAAACTCATTTATTAGTCATTTTCTATCTGCCAGGCATCTCTCCCACTTAACACTCACCATACCTTTGCAGAGGTCTGTGATACGTAGCCCACGAGGAAGTGTGCTCAGAGGGGTTTAGTGTGAGTGCCCAAAAGTGCTCGCGCTAGACTTCGTCCAGCTCTGTGTGACACCAAGCCTGTGCTTTCCCCCATTTTGCCACCTCCTTTCTAATGTAAGAACCTGTATTTTAAAGTCCAAATTACCATTCAGGGAAAAGGATGCTCGTACATTATAACAAATGTACTGTGAACAAGCTGAGAGAAAATAAAAACATTTGTCAAGTGTACAATCATTTGCCCACTGGTATGTTCTCAGTAAAAATGTATTGAATGAGTGCCTCAATTATTTTTTTTAATACCAGTTTACTGTGATCTACAACAGTTGATGATAAATGTTATTAGCATTGTTTCTTCAATAAAAGCAAGTAAACAGTTGGTTTGCACTGTAATTCTCAAATTTTACTATAATTTATTAATTTTTTATTACCTAACATGTATATAGCTTCAATTTAGGTTCATGCTAATAATGTTTATTTTAAATAGCTGCTCTTTGTACACACATTCCTCTCCCATTCCAGAGCCACTGCTAACTACAGAGTAAGATAATGGTTTTCCCATTAGAAGGTTGTAGAAGTTAAGAATAGCAACTTCCAGAATGGTAACCACTAAAGGATAGTCAAGAAAACCAATAATCTTATTTTTTCCACATTACACCTATAAAAGTGGCATTTAGAATCACATCCTTCTATTACTATTAAGATGATTAACTGCAGTCAAATTTTACAGTTTCTATTTAAAAATAAATTTTCATGTGTGTGTATCCTTAGAAGTTAGGTTTCACAGGGCAGCTTTTAAAATCCCCCAGGCTTCCACGTATGGAAGATAACATCCTGTGGCAGAGTAGTAAATGTAATTTGTTAAACAACGACTGTGGCCTGTGGAACTTGTCTCTCTTTTCTGTCAGAAGTATACATTACTCTCACTTTAATTTTTTTAAAAGGAAAGCCACACAGACATCTTGTTATTGCTCATAAGCCCTTTATGAAAGGTTTCCATATTGTTGGAGGCTTAGACCAAACTATACATGAAAAAATGATTGTACTCAGGACAATCATTACTTATCAGTCCATGTACTTGGTCATGAAACAGTTGAAAGGCCCCTCCCAGCCCAACAGGTAGTTGCCAGCAAACCTAGCAACCAAACACACTAAAACTGGGAGGAAAACACCCCTTCGTAAGGGCCAGCATGCCGGCTGTGACCTCAGAGAAGTCTCGGCTCCCAGAAGGAAGGCTGACCCATCCTCCTCTACTTGGCACAGTTCAGCTCTGAGTTTGCTGCAGGGAAGGCAGCCAAATCATTCTGAGATCAAACAGAAGCAGCAGCCGGAGGAGTGAACCTCTCTCCACAGACACGGCCTTTGGTCCCTATCTCTGGTGGGACCGCTGATCCCTTCACCACAACTGCTGCCTGCAGAAAGCAGGATTTTGTCAGAATGGGCCAGGAATGAGCGCTGTACAGTGACATCAAAGTTATTTGGGAAAAAATATTACAGAAGAAATATAGAAAACTAGGAGAGGACCAAGTTTGTGGAAAGAACTAGCTAAAGGTCCAAAAGGCCAATATTTTTCAACATTGTTAACTCATGTTTTCTGGGTCATAAAAATGTTGAGAAGAAAACAGCAAGGGAGAGAAGAGTTGAGTGGGCTTTGGCCAAGCCGTCAGTCTCAGGTTTATATCCTGCTGTCTGTTCCCCTGATGAATGGACTTTTATTAATCGCTTTCTGTCTAAGATCCAGAAGAGCCAATCAATGTGTTGCTACACTTTTTTTTTCTCCAGAAAGTAACATTTCAACGTCACCTCCTACCATATTTTGTTAGATTTTCTAGTTAACTCACAAAAAGATCATGAGCTTTAGACTGTTTTAACTATGTGATTCATACACATTAAGAAAACTCAGAAATAATTTTCAAATGAAGTTGTAGCCAGGAATGAATATGAAACCTTTATAATAAGTAAGTCCCCTAAACATACTTTTTTCCCCCTGGGTTCAAGTTTAGGACTAAATGAAGAGGAATTGGAGAGGTTCCAGAGGATAGTAATGAAAATGATTAAAGGACTGATGATGAAAGGTTCAAGGAATTGAGATTACTTAGCCTGGAGAAGAGAAATTCGAGGGGTGATTTAATGGTAACCTTCAAGTACAGTATGTGGAGGGTTATTACAAGTGTGGCGGCCAGCTGTTCCCCAGCTGTACTGAAGGCTGAAAAAGGGAAACAGAACTAGAATTTCAACAAGAGAGATTTAAGTTAGACCAGTGATGTCAAGGGTTCTCAAGCTAGCTCAAGGGATACAAAACCATTGTGGAAGACCATGAAATATTGATGTTTTAAACTTAAAATACATAGTTCTGCTAAATCAGATACCAACTTAGATACTAGTTGAAAAGTTTAAGGTAAAATTATGGAATACAAACTCAAGATTGAGAAAACGTTGACTAGGGTGATGAGTGAGGTTAAGACCTTCCTGGACCACTGGGACCCCATGATTTGGGGAGCTCAGTTTGAGAACCAATGAGCTATGAAGAGGAAATGAGCACAGCACCTGATGACAGAGGGCGTGGGACCTTGAGGTGCTCAGGAAGGCAGACGTACTCCCACCTGCATCCTGGTGACTCTCTTCTTTCCTTTTACCCTGCCTTGTATCTACACCTGGAAGATGCAGCAGCCAAGCCATACAAGTGCTTTTGAGGACTGCATTGACTAAGAGTCAGGTGCTGGCCTGTCCTCAACGGCTGCCCCAGCAGCACCCCTCTGACGTGGACTGCTCCTGCACACAAACCAGCTCTGGCTCGCCTGTGGATTTAGTTCATTACCAACTCTAGGTTATTAGGAACTTCACTCTTAATAAGATGACACTTTTATTTTTTTAATGTTTTATTACAAAGCTTCTTTTAAAAAATGCTCAGCATGTTAACTCAAACTGGAATGACAAACGTTAGATGACAGTTTCAGGCAAAGGCTGTGCCTTGCTATTTTAAAAAAAAAATGGGTACATCAATGCTCATTTTAACAACTGGCATAAAATCCCACTAATTGGCTAATAAAAACAGATACAAATACAGAACATTTAAAGTAATAACAATTCAAGTGCTGGGCTTTTTACAAGGGGGTGAGAAGGAAAGAAATGAAAATTCACTGCAAACCGGTTTTCTGAAACTATCTGTTAAGGTTTACCACTTTAAAAAAGAATTTTAAAAAAGCCAGAAGAAAAATAAAGTGGAAATGGGACTGCCAATTGCTACCAACAGAGTGGACTTGGCTATTACATTTATTTAGCTCTATTGAACACCTGACAAGGACGAAGAGGCCACAATTTGTTACAGGCAATTCACAGAGAAGCCACTTATCGGACAAGGTGTCTCTCAGAAAAAAGCTTCTTTTCATTTTGTTTTTACTTCAAACTTTTTCAGACCTTTGAATTTTATTTAAAAGCTCATAGCTAGCAAAATATACAAGAAAATTAGAACTAAAAAGTGTAAATTAAAAAAGAAAAATTCAAGTTTTAAACAAAAAAGCAAACATAAGATTGATGCTTTTGCACTGTTAAATAAAAGCTTTAGGAGAAAGGAAGAAAAAGGAAAATGAAGACAGACAAAGAGGGAACTCTTTCACGAATTCCTCCACTGGGATGCTGATGCATGTGCTGCTTGCTGGCTCCAGTTGTGCCTGGCAGGCAAATGGAGCCAAGTTACTGTCCTTGCCCAAAGGTTACAGGTGTGGATGCAAGATGCTCTGGAAGTGCACACAGAGATGGGGAGAAAAGCTGCTCAGTGGACCCAGGGCCTGCTAGCATTCTCATGTGCTTTTAAATTTCCTTTCTAAAAACCTTTTTTATGATTTCTCTTGGAACTTGGCTCTTGCAGTAGACGAAAAGGGGTTGGCAGTGATTGTCTTTATGGATCAGCGTCTCTAGCAGTGACCTCAAGGTAATGCTGGTGTCAATGCTCCTTTGGGGTCAGCTGGACAGGCCGTGGAGACAGTCTGGGTTTTCAACAAGCTTCCATCTCCAGAAGAGGTCCTGGGGTCGCTGCCTTGGCTTTGCACGTTGGGAATGAGCTTCGTTTTCCACCTCAAGAAGGAACAAATGAAATGCTGTTAATATGAATTTGCCATAGGCCTTTAAAAGACTACAACCTCTATTTCACACGGCACATGTTTTAAGACCTCTGCATTTAATGAATCCATTTTGTTGATTTGGTGATGGGTAAAATGGACTGCCCTATAGTAGCCCCAAATCCTCAGAATATGTTAGAGTAAGTATAATGTACTGATATTTTTCCTTTGGTTCCATGTATATGGATGCACAGAGTTATGATGTGAAATGTATTTAACATGTTGGGAAGTGGTTAAAACAAAACAAACAAAAACATGTTTGAAAAATACCAGGAGAAAATGACCAAACATGAATTGGAAAGGTGAGCAATAGCCAGATCTGGGAAAGATTTGTCATTCTAAAGTGTTTGGTGTTTTCAGTCCACTGAGGGGAGCCATTGCATGATTCTACACAGGACTGGAACATATTCAAATTATCCAGTGCACCTCCAGCTCCCACAATGACAAGCCCCAACACGACGAGGATGTGCTCTGCCCACTCATAGCCACAGTCCGAGGGACATTAGCCTCTCCCTGTGACTTAAGACTTTACAGTTCTCAAGATTTTTTTCCTTCATAGCAACTAGGATCTCTAACGTTAGCCTTGCCATGTACACTCAGCAAGTATTTTAAAGTAATCGTTCCTAGATATTGGTGATGATAATGATTTCAAAAAGGAAAACACCAAATCCCAAAAGCTTTGGATATGAGATTTAAAAAAGTAATTAGAAATAAAATATAATGTTGAAGCAAGATGAGACAACAGCAAGAGGAACGTAAAAACACTAATAAGTTCAGATCCTTCACTCCAGAGAGCACTGCCTCTGCTGCTTTGAACTTGGGAGAGGCTGCTTTCCTCTGGTGGCAGAGATGCCGGAAGCACCTTCTTTACCACGATCCCTCAGCAGCCTCTGATGCTTCCCAACTGTTTGTGCTGTGATTGTGGTATCCTTGTTACAAACAGAAGTTTCCTTTAAAAAATTAATTCTAAATAATAGTGGATTCCTTTATGCTTTTGAGTTAGTGTAAAGAGAAATAAAAGGAAGCTTTGACATAGTGTAATGATGAAAACAAAAACTCTGAATGTCAGGTTACAGAGCATTAAGTACTTTTCACAGAAGGACAGTGATCTACAGAATGGGGCTTGTGGGTCCCTGCCCCAAAGGCTATTGTGGGGAGTGGCTTGGCTCATACATTTAAGGTGCCTACAAAGCGCGTGGTGCACAGCGAGCCCTGTGAGCACGTTCACTAGTGTTATTGCAATTACTGCCAGTGCTGTCCCTAAGATAACTAATCTGAATTGTGAAGAAACTACTTGAGTATCTGGAAGGCTACTGAAAAAACAAACCAACAAACAAAAACAAAATGGGAGGAAACTACACAGAATATTTTCAACTGAGGAGGTCGTCAATGACAACTTCAATTCCTGTTCTCCAGCAAAATTAACTTCTCCCTGTTTTAACAGGAAAACATAAAGTGCAGCATTGTGATCTTTTAATTTAACAGGGGTGCCGACCCTTAACACAGGAGGATCAAAGAGCTATGAAGTGCCTGTCTAAGAAGAAAGGAACAGAGTGGAGCCTGGGATGGCTGGCAGGGCACCCCACAGATTCCTATTCACACTGTACTTTTGTATCACAGATTTTCAAAGGTTTGGTCCAGGTTGCTCTTCCTGGGAAGGTTTTCCTCTCAGCCTAATATGAAAATATTCAGCTTCCTGATGAGGCATGGCCTTTAAGTCCTGGGCTAGCAGCTTGCGACAAGTGCTGTCATTCAGAATTGACTGGCCACTGGCAGCCAGGAGTGTCTGCTGAGGGAGACGTCCCTCTGCTGGAGTCCGTCCCCACCCCCAGGTATAGGTGAACTCTGAAGTTGTGAGATGCAGACAACTTCCATGGCCCTGCTGTGGTCCCCATTCTCAGCAGGGCCGGACACCTTCCAGCATGCAGTGCCCCGCACTGCAGCTCAATCGGGGTCTTCCTTTCCCCTTCCTCACCTCACCTAACAGTGCCTTCTCCTCTCCCCCCCCTGAGCTGAGCACAGTGATGACATAATTATCAACACAAACATGGCTGCTCAGAGATGGCCACTGACCTCAAGGACAATATGTAACTTGCCTGGAAAGAATCTCTACATCTCCTAATAAAGTCATTTCTTTCTACAGTCTCACATTTTCTCACTCGTTATTTATTCTTCCATAGTGTTACCTTGTAAATCCTCTTGAAAACCTGACTTCAGAGATCCTATGTACAGCTGCCTACCGAAAAGCAACTCGTCCCCTCAGAATGCTTTCCTAATAGTGTAAGTAGTGTTTAAAAGGTTGGCGAAGAAACTCCCTTGCTATCACATAACGTAGCTTGTCCCTGATTGCTCTCTTAAAACACAGCGTCATCGACAGGGTGGAACAATTCTTACCTCCAAACAGGAGAAATGGGGGCCTTACAGCATTGCTTTACAGACACAAAACAGGTCAAATCAAGATTCTTTTCAAGAAACCACAGGCATGAGGCTCTGGAGACTGGAGACTTCCCACATCTAAGCCTTCACTGGGGGGCTGTGGCTGAAGCTGGGCCAGGGCTGGCGAGCCCCAGCACAGCACAACCCACCAGTGAAGCCTGTGTAATCAAAGCCAGCAATCACTGCTCTCCGCTGCGGCTCGGCTTCAGAGGGAGGCAGCAAGTCCCATCCTACAGACGGTAAGGTGTGGGCTCCCTCTGACAGTAGCCACCACGTGGGCCATTTATACAGTGGATTTGAAGGCAGCACAGGTTACCCCCCCCCGCCACTCATCCAACCCATACAAATCCCTGATGTTCTCCCAGACCAAACTCCAACCTTGACAACATATCCCGCTAACCAAAGAGAACCAGGAACCCAAATGGGCAGAGGCACTAATTAAGAGCTGAAGCAGTAAAGACGAACCTGAAGATTTCAAGAGTGGACCTATTTCTGAAAGATAAACAGAACTGACCCTGAGCCACGGGGGCTTCACAGTCCTTGGTTCAAAAGAAATGAAGGGAAAGGGGGAAACTCCTTCTCTGTAAGCTCAAGCATGAAATCCTACCAGGGGCTAAGAGCTTCCCAGCCCATATCTGTGGGGCTCTGCAGCCCAGCCCCCAGCCCCAGGCTGTCCTCTGGTAGGAGGGGCCTAGAAAACAAGGCCATTAGTGAACCCTGAGGTGGAGGGGAGAAGGGCCAGCCCTCTCAGCCTGCCACCAAGACTCACCGGGTCAGCACAAGGTGTTCAGGCCGAGCAGGGGCAGCTAAGCTGGTGTGTAGGAACAAAATGTATCCCACCCCCCACCAATATCATGTACTATCACTTCCTTGTTTGGAATTGGCAAGGAACCAAAAAATATAAGTTGGAATATAAGACTCTTTCTCCTCCTCGTATCCGACTCCCAAATGCTACTAGCAAAGAGCAGGAATGCTTAAAATGCTTTTAGTTATGACAAAGTTTGAGGAGAGAATATTAGACATTAGTTTTGTAAGAGGTAAACAGAGACATAGACTTTAATTGCAAAAATTGCCTTATAGCAGCACTCCACCTACCTCATGCCAATTGCCTAAGTTTTTCTGCCTTGGGGGAAACTGACAAGGAGCCTATTACTTTTGGGTGTGAATTTTCTGCTGCACAATGTCATGTGTGTACAAAGGAAGAGAAGTACAGGCTTGTAGAGCAGACAGCGAGCATGACAGAGCTAGTCTGACCCTGTCTTTCTGGTGGAGGAGACTGAGGCATATGGTCATAAAATGTTTGGCCCGAGGTGATCCCTAGAGGGTGGCAGTGCTGGGCCTGTCCTCAGGCCTTCTGCTTTGTCTGTGAGAAGCTGCTGAGGGGAAGGAAAAAAATCAATGTCCTCTGAGAGCTGACGCGTTGGCACTAGGATATGGACTTTCCACATATGATTTCATGAAACCACCTTGACAACTCTGCACAGTGCCACCCAGGTACACATAAGGAAATCAAAGCTGTGGGAGGTTAAACAACTTGCCACCAATAGGTGGCAGAATTAGGTTTTATGCTCTAGACACATGCTCTGGCCACCACATCTTGGAGCTAACTTATCAGTCATTTTCTTCCTCTCTCCTTCTGACCCTTCATCCGTCAGTTTGTCCATCACCAGGTGATAACACCCTTATCCTGATAGAGGGGTCTACATCTAAAACACTGCACCCATCCCAACATACCAGCTCTGTATGAAACCAGGCAAAGAGAACTAAATGTATAAACTAACTTTGAAATTTAAATCTCCTCCAAGATTGAAAATATAACCTACAAAAGCCAGCTTCAGCTCTTTGGCAGTAAACATTACGCAGTATTTGAGAAAAAGGAAAAGCGAAAATGTGTGGTTAGGAAGGTTAACAGTGAGTTTTGTTTCTGCAGCTGAATCAGTCCTTAGTCCCAGCATTCAAGACTAGTCAGTCTCCAACCACAAAGCTCTAGAGCAAAAGGATTCCCAGAAGCTGGAGGAGGGTGGAAGGGGGTCGTTAGCTCTGTCCTTGGCTTCAGTTTATACCAAGGCAAGGGTGACTGAATCTTTGCAGCTTCTTCCCCTGTGGTTACTCAAAGTGAATTATGATCAGTGAAAGCAGACTTTGGCAATGCCAGGATGACTCTGAAACAGGCCTTCAACTATTAGCAAACTACTCCAGGGCAACTTTTGGTTTCTATCTACAGTATTGGTTTCTGTTCCTTAGCCACCCAGTCCTTCATGTCCCTCTGCAAGCACACATCACACTGGCAGCCTGGGCCTCCCAGTGCCAGTCAGACCCACGAGATCCTTCCTACTGAAGGAAACAGTGGAGAAAAGTTCTTGAAGGTAGTACTGTGTAAGAGAGCCAGAGCCTCAAAAGTGTATTTTAGTTCTGTAAACTGAAGTGCTTCAGGAGGACGATAACTAGGTAGACCCACCTCACCTTCCCCCTCCAAATTCTTTATCTAATCCACACTTCTTTCCATTTAATAGAAGTTCT